ATTAATTACCTCAGATTTCCAGTTTTTACATTGCTTATAAATTAAGCTGTACCATTTTTATTAATGACAAAAATATGAAAAATACATATAATGTATAGGAACATATATTAACGGAACCTATTTATGTCTTAGAAAAGCTACGCAGTGGTGCCAAAATGAAAGAGAATAATGCGAAAAGGGATTTTATGAGTGAAAATCGCATCATTTTCCACTAAAAAGTTTTAACTAATTTTTTTTAATTGCGAAAATTATTGAAATATTGCAATAAAAGTGGGAGAATTCTTTTCCATTCGTCTGTGTAGTGAAAATTGTAATTCGTGTTCTTTCAGATGTTGAAATGCAACTTAAAACTATTAGGTCCAACGCTGCCATTGATATGCTTAATATTTTCAGTAATTAATTTATCGAAATTTACGAAGTAGTATATACTTTTAGTTGTATGATGTCATTTTTATTATCATTGTTATATTATTATTGATGATTTCACGTACTGAATGCTTTGTGCAGAGTAAAAGTAGAATAAAAATTAAAATAAATTAAAAGCAAAAGTGTAAATTTTAAAGTTTCATTTCAAATAACGGCCCACTAGCAGCCGAGCGGTAAAGTCGCTGAACACTGGTAGTTCGGTCCGAGGTTCGAATCCCACACACGGACTGGCTGCATGGGCATTTTCATGGTTTTCCCCGTGTGTAATGTGTATACAAGCCAGTTTCCCTTAGAAAGTCCTCCATGAAGGCATTCTTTCCCTTAGGCAGATAGCTCTTGAGACTTTGCTACAATCAGACACAAACACACTTTTTCATTTCAAATAACGATTAGAAAGTACTTCACGAAGGCGTTCTTTCCCTTGGGCAAATATTCTTCGAGTGCTTTATTATTATATAATAATTCAATTCAGTTCCGTTTAAATAACATACAAATTATTGCTCTTTACTGAATTCTGGGCTTAAATGTTTCACGTTGTTAAAATGAATTGTAATTTATTATATTTTTTCAAATGAAGGGAAATTAAAATATTTCTTTCAAAATAAATTTAATATCTTCAGAATTATCTTTTACAGATTAGTGTGAATTTTTAGTAGATGAGTAATTTACAGGCTAAGAAACACCACAGCTATTCTCTTTTCTAAAGCAAATCAATTTACGAGTTCTATGCCTTCAGATTTAATTCTTGTTTAGGAATTTTAAAGAATTCTTAACCTGCACTTTATCTGCAATGCGAGAATATTTTGTAAATTCTGATATGAAAAATAAGATAAATATTGATTTACTCATTATTTCAAGTAAAAATATTCATCCATTCCATTTCCTCTCCCCATAAGTGAAGAAGAAGTCATGAACTTCGATAAATTTAAGGAAAAAAAATTAACTGGAATATTTGCCGCTTAATGTTTAAGCAACCAGAATGAAACTTTGTGTTCTTTGTTGAAACACAACAAAACCCGTTGAATTGGGATTGCAAAGGGAGTTGTTAGCTTTGTCGCATAAAACATGCTCCTTTTTTATTTGACCTTGAATTCATTCAAAGATCCCTAAGAAACAGGAAATCTCTCTTTTCTAAATGTGGTGTCATAAATTCTTTGCATTTCCTGGACGAGGACAACATTTCGACATGTGGGTGGGGCAAGTCAATGATTTTGTGTCCTTAAGAAAGGAAAGCATACATTCTGGAGTTAGCAATTGATACTTACGAATGATTTCCCTCCTCCAGTTTATTAGTCTAAAAAAGAGAAAAAAATCGATCCACCTTTAACTTTGCCATTTTGGAATGTTTCATACTTTTAAAACCAAAATTTTCCCGTCCCTATACCCTGCCTTCTGGTGCGACTGCATCGTCGTTTTTTACATTGTAGGTAATGTTGTTTCATCATAGTGCGAGAAACATACATACATTTATGCAGATTCTTCCTTATTTAATTTTTTAAATAATAGTACAGGGTGAAATTATTTGGTGGCAACAATTTGAAAAGTGATACGCCTTTTATAGTGAACCAATGCAATACATGTTATATTACATTGTAAAAATCATTCACATTAATAAATTCAATTTCAAGCTTAATATTAGTCCTGATTTTTGGACTTGGGTTTAATGGAAGTGCTAGTAACAGATTCAATTAAATTGAACAAAATTAAATGCTTCGGAATGACATATTATGAAAATTTTGAACTGCAAATAATATACCACGTTTCCTCTTAATTTGCAAAGGTCATTCGAAATTAAGTACCAGAAGCCTGTTTAGTTACTTATTTATTAACTTAAAAATGTGTCTATTAATTATTCGATCATAATAACAAAGTATATAGAAATAAATTAATATACAAAATAATTACATTATAATAAATAGTTACAATTAATTTCCACTTCTACCCCCTGTTGAATTGGCATTGCAAAAGGAGAAACCTTTCCTTCAGGGGGTCGCCTTTAAAAATTTTCAGGTAAGAAACTAAGAAATACAAAGGAACTTTTCCTATTTTCTGCTGACTCCTATGCTTGAACTGAGGCAGGTCACGAAGTTACTATTTCATAGTCGAATGATGGAATATTAACTTTTGCAAACACTGAATTTAACTGTTTCATGTGCTTCCAAGGGCCATTTTTCTGCGTCTTATATGGAACTGAGTCACTGCACCATATAGGAAGAGGGCCCTTAAAAACTTAAAAGAAGACGAATTCTATTATATTAAAATAAGAATTTATAGTAGTATAAACTCTAAAAATAAAAATGAAAAGCGAAAGGGAAAAAAATAAAAAAAAATAAAATAAAAAAAAAAAAACTTTTAAGTTTAAACTTGTAAATGTAGTTCAGCAGGACATTTAAGGGCCCCCTAAACCTTCGGGCCCCTATGTGACGGCATTCCTTGCATACCCTTATTTACGCCACTGGATATGAACATAAGTGTAAATGAATTAGCAATGAAAACTAACCTTATTGATTTGCTGCATTTGCTTAACATGTCAGAGAGCCACATCGCTTACATGACAATAAAGAACTGTATTATAAAGTGTGTCAGCCTTAAATAAATAAATGTTGAAGCAACATTTCCATCTAACATGGATTGTGAGAAAATTTATGCATGGATGTCAAGAATGAAATAGAACTCAAGATTGAGATGAAAAAGAGTCCAGTTGAACTGAATAATTCAAAAGCCATCATTCAGTTCAAATAAAAAAAGTCAAGTGGCAACAGTGATGACAAATATTTTCCAGATGCTTTCTGAAGCAAAATCAAGCACATCACATGATAAACTTTCTGAAGTTGAAGATGTTGACTTTACTGCAAATTCTGAGGTAAGACACACTGAACATTAAACATAGGGACGTAGCATCCCTAAAATAATTTCCCGAGACATTAGGAAAACAGGTCATAAATAAACTCTTACATACTATTTGCAGATAATCTATTAATAACAATTTTGTTTAATGCTTGTTTTGTCATAATAATTTCCTCCTTTTCTTCACACAATGGAGAAATGGATAATACAATACTTAACCCTTAAATGCACGAATGTTTATTTTTATAGTCAAAAATACATTAAAATTGATATGAAATAAAATAGAAAAAATACTAAAAAAATCTAAACTAAGTTTTTATTCCAATTTTTGGAAACTATTTATTAACTTTTACAAAAAAAAAAAAAAAAAAAAAAAAAATTGATAGGCAAATGTGTAATAACAATTTTATGTAATAATACATATCTTATAAACTTGTTCAAAGAATTTTAAAATTTTGAATACATGAAAATAACAAGAAACAAAAATTCGTAAACACAAATGATGTTCACACCCTATACATCAACTCACAATAATGACCATTACGCCAGTTAGAGGTGGCACCACACTGAAACTTTCAAAACTATGTAACAGTAGTAAACAGTATGTATTGAATTGGTTACAATATGTAGTAAGCTAAAACTTGTGTTTTGATTTGATTTACATGACTAAATATGAGTATATTGCCAAATGGCAACTACATGCATTTAAGGGTTATGTAAAAGCCAAGTGTGTTTAAATACTTTTTTCAGTTTGAGTTTTTTCGGGGGGGGGTAAGCCGAAAAATATCATTACCTGCCATAATATTGAATCATCCTGCGTACTGCTTCAGCTATAAACACCTGCTGGGTTGCGAATCACATTTCCAACTCTCAAATCATTGTGTTTATTTTATTATTTTACCTAACCTGGTACAAAATAAGTTTAACTTCAAAGATCAGTGTTCATTTAGAGTAGAATGTAGCATACTGGTTTTCTTTTGTTAGCACAGTAGGGAAGACAGCTGGGATGGCAATACCCCAATTATAAATCAAAGGACAGTGCAGAAACATGTAGTATGGTTTTAATATAGAAAATGTCACCACTGATCATAAAGAAAGTGATAAAGAAGTTATTGAAAATGAAAAGATTTTAACTGATTACTTGATGGGAATTCTCAACATGGCAGTAACAGGAATTAACTATGAAAACTAAACTGAAGAAATTATCTATCTCTATAAAAAGAAAGTAGTAATACAACTTGAGATCATAATTGTTTCTTTTATTTCACAAAAAAAATTTTGCAATTTCTACATGTTATCTTAATCGATTTAAATTGAAGATGTACAATCTGGAAATTAGTGAAATACATTATCATCAAAGTTCCAATGATTCCCAATCTCAGAATATGTATTATAACTTAATTTTAATAAACAGTATTTAACAATGCATTGAAAAGCCAGGTTAATTTAAGATTCATAGGATGCATAACTAGCGAAACTGAAACTCTCCACAGCCAAAAATAAAGGTATAAAAATTATTATTGCTTTTACCTTGGATATGAATTTCTATAAATTAAATAGGCAAGTACATAGTTCATGTCTTTACATTATATTTATTTTAATCTAATACATAAAATCTGTGGCACTGATATTTTTATTAAAATCATAATTAATCATACCATTAAAAAATCTTAAATTAAATTTATCAAACTATTAAAATTTTAATCAAAAAGGAAAATAATGCTTACAGTTCGCAGCCAAGTTACATAAATGCATATCACCTAATTTAACAGCTTTTTCAATTTGAGTTTCTTTAATATCAGTAACCATTTCTATCATTTCAAACATCTGTTGAACTTCTCTTTCTTTACGCTTTCCCTAGAAATAGAAAGTGAAATTATTTTAGTATTTATTTTTATTATTAAAAGTAAGTTTTATAGGATATAAATACCTATTTCAATAAGATAATGATGAGGGGAAATATTACCTCAAACTCCTTTAATAGTAACTTGATTTCTCCTTGTACAAAAGGTCTGTGGTCAAATAAGCGACTTTGTACATCTCCAATATCTTACAGATAAAAACATCAGCATTAAAATACGTAGCCTGCATTCTAAATTCAACATTACATATTTCATTACAGCACGAAAGAGTATGAACTAATAATTCTCACAAAAATATGAATAATTTTAACAATGATTTTTAATAAAATTTTCTTCATATTATAAATGTAATTCAGATTTAAATTCAACATGGCTCAGTTTCATTTTTAATATGCAAAATATCAGAGAAAAGTTTTGTAATGGCATGGCTTTTTTAATCTGGTCATAAAGACATATATTTAAACAGCTTGTATTAGTTAAATTTATAATTACTTAAATTTGTATAATTACTTATATTAGTATCTGTTTTCATAAACTTCTTTTCATTAAAATGATATTTACATCATGAAAGAAAGAAAAATATTTTTAATTGTAAATACATACCTACTAATAAAAAATCTCATGACTAGATAAAAGAGGTAATGCCACTCAGAGGGTTATGTAAGTTGAAATATAACTTATTTTGAAAATGTTTTCTTTAATATAGGAGTTCCAGACAAAATTTAAAGTGTATTAAACTATCTGTGATAAGATCGCATAGAGATTCTTTGTCTAGATTGAATGATTTCAGAATGCAATAGTACCTTTTACAGTACATAGTTAAAATCCTGTACCAATGAGGTGCCTTTGTTAACGAATCTGGTTGCAGCCTCAAAGGTCACTCCAAGAGACAAAGAGATAAAAGAAGTCTTTGCATCAGGGTCAGGAGATGGACACCTTTGTTATGAAAGAGTGAAGGAATCCCATCTCCACAGGAGTTCAGCGCAGGTAACAACATAGTGAGATATAAAAGGTGGTTTCCTGAGAAGGGCCAGAACTTTCCCACTGGTGCTATGGGCATATCAGCCCACTAGAACTATTACTGCTCATGTATAATGTGATTTGAAATTACGGGATTAAATGTATCCAAGTCCCACTCTGTCAAGAATGGCAACTGTTATTGTTTTTTATTTTATTAAAATTCATGTTATTGTTATAACTTGAGTTCGAAGTTTATTTCAACCCTCTATTACAACCTGGGGTTTGTGTAGTGGTTTCGACCAGTACACCACATATCAAAGTATGATTGTTTATCAAAATAACTCACATCTTGATTGCATGTAACGCTGGACTTTTGAAGTTACTGTAATAAAAATTTGGCTACATGTTACATGTCAGTTGATCAGCAAATAAATTTTGAGAGCCACTATAATAAGTACCAAAATATGTTATACAAGCAAAGTAATTTTGAGACTCTTGATTTAGAATTAATTTTAACTTCAAGTTATTGTAACTAATCAGAAATATTGCAATTTATTGAATAACTAATAATTCAATTTCTCAATGCACATTACAAAAGTATTCAAACTTTTTTATATTTAAATAACACCTATTAATAAGAAAAAATATAGTCACTCATATATTCATTACCTAGCATAAAACTGATCATAGGCACAAAAAAATTTAACAGTCACATTTCTACAAAAATGTAAACTCTAAGTCTAGTTGCATCATTGCTGCATATTTTTGTGAATGTTCAGAATAGAACATAATCTGTTTTAAATTCCACATTGCACCCTACTTTCTTTCTTTTCACCATCGGCGGAACAGCTGGTTCCCTGAGTTAGGTGCTTTTCAGCCTGTTAGATCCCGTCAATGGAATTAAAAATAAATACATGAATAAATATAAATATAAAGCTTAGTACTGTGTCCTCTGGGGATTGGCCACGAAACGAGGAACATTGAAATAAGGACCAGAACATGGAAAGTAGGTGCATGGTGGGGACTGCTGAGACTAAGCAGAACACTTTTCATTATTATCGTACATGTTAGGCATATAGTTATATTAAGGATGTGCTATAATAATCAGGTACAGATGTAAAGATGACTAAATACATTACAAATTGTGGAATACATTAAATGAGTTCTGGATTAATTCTAATATTAAATATAATTAAAAAAACAGCAAAAACAACAAAAAAAAAAAACAAGACATTAAGTAAATTAATATATGTAGAGAGCGGGCTGCTGAAGGCACGGTGTCCAAGGAAAGAAGTCACACTAGGTTGTCAACAATGCTTTTAGCAATGGTAGTGCAGTCTCTAATGTGGCTGAGCGCATATTTATTCTAAATTATGTTCTTGAACAATGCCGGCATATTGATTGCAGTTGGTCTTTTTAAATGTGAATACCCTGTGTGCGAACAGTCAAACAGATAGTGATCTGGGTCACCAATACTGGCACAAATACATTCGTCACTGTCTCTTAGGCGAAATCTGTGAAGATAGGACATATATGCTTCATGCCCAGTCAGATATTTTGTGATGTGCAAAGAGCTACTATTTAAATTGTGGTTAACTTTTAGTTGGAAATCATACAGCCTTCTGCCTGTGGTGCTTGCCTCCCAGTAGTTCTGCCACTGATTCATTAGTTCACATTTGAGAGTAGTTTTCAGATATGAGTGCGGAAGGGGCACACCAATGCTACTCACGCGGGGTTCATTGGCTGCACCTTTCGCAATCATATCCGCTGCTTCGTTTCCTTTAATCCCCGTATGAGCTGGAACCCACTGTAGCTGGGGCCTCAGACTTGCAGGAATCGAAAATAATAGTTTCTGTATGTCTCTGACAATGGAATGTCTACTGCGGTCGCCCTGTATGGCCTGCAAGCTTGACATTGAGTCTGTGTAAATTACTTTATACCTGCCATTATTAGCAGTAAAGTCCAGAGCTGCCTTTAGGGCTGTAAGTTCTGCCTGAAATGCCGAGTTACTTGGATAAAGCTTCTTAGCCCATGAATGGATTATGTGGTCACCCTCCATTGCACACCAGGCTCTGCCAGTCCCGAGTTCTCCTTTGGAGCCATCAGTATATACGTCTAAATATTGTAATGCACTTGGAGGATTACAGTTTGCTTCTATCGAAGTCTGCAGGGTGGCAAGGAGAGTGGGCAATGTGATTCTCATAGTCTGAGGTTTCATGAGCCTTACTCCAAACAGTAACATCTTGTTTCAGTCTGATCACTCTCACCACAACACTCTCGCTCTGCACTATCAAGTGCAGGGGCGGAAGCCCAGCCACTACATTTAATGCAGTTGTAGGAGAGGTACGAAATCCTCTGCAGATGCCCAGAAGAAATGGTCTTTGCGCAGAGTTCAATCCATATTGCATGTTAATCGTGACATTGACACCCCATATGGAAATGCCATGAAGAGCTATGCGCTCAGAGACTGTGGCATAACATATTTTGAGCATCTGCGAGGAGACATCCCAGTTAGCAGCAGCTGTTCTCCGCACTGTATTAGAAAATTTATGCAGTCTTTCTTTAAGATCCTTGATGTAAGGGAGCTAAGAGAATCTGTCGTCTATAATCACACCAAAGTCTCACGGATTGTATGTTTCTGCCATGAAGGTTTACGCACAGGATATGCTCGTGCCTTTTTTTTTTTTTTTTTTTAATTAGCATTCCTTTTGTTTTTGCTCTCGAAATTATGAGCTTATGTTCACTGGCCCAGTGGACTATTTTGTCTAACGCTTTTTGGGAATTTACCTCGCAACTGTTACAGCTGTCACTGTTTGAAATTAGCAAGAAGTCATCAGCATACGCTATTATTTCTGATGTTTCAACATCATCAAACAGGTAGAGCACACTGTCTGCTACCAGGTTCCACAGAAGTGGACCTAGGCAGGAGCCCTGCGGGCAGCCTTTCGTCACTTTTTTGCGTGTGGACGCCTCCATCCATTGTAGCTTGGATTTGTCTTTCACTCGGGAAGCTATAGATCAAATCAAATAAAGTTTTGGAACAACTGATATCTTTGAGACATTTTAAAATATCATGCCACCACTACGAATCGAAGGCCCCTTGAATGTCTATACTGATGACAACAGTATGCAGTTTTTTCTGCTTGTTTCTAAGTACCATGTTCCGTAGTTGATTCAGTGTGTGATCCACTGACTTTCCCGCTATAAAGCCATATTACCTAGTGTTTATGAGTTTATTAGTAGGAATGTAAAAATTCAGTCTTTGAAGTACTATTTTTTCGAGGAATAGCAGGGAGCAGGCAGATGGGCCTATAAGAAGCAGCCTCGTTTCGATCTTATTTTTCGCTTTAGGTAGAGGGCAACTTCTGCTATTTTTTGCCTTCTAGAAAGTGGCGAATTCTCCAGCATGCCTGTAAATAGGAGAAAAGTATTACCGGATGCGTGTTATGCATAGTTTTGAGAATGCTGTTATCAAGCCCATCCGGAACTGGAGCTTTACTTGGATTGAGATTCTTGATTACATCATTCAGTTCCTTGCTTGTTGCAAGAGGCTCAGAATCAGCAATCGACAAAGTACAAAAAATATTGTTCAATACTAGTTCGTATTTTCCTTCTGCGCTGCACTGTAGTATCTTTATGGGGATTGCATCATGCTGGAAAATCGTTTCCAGTATATGTGTCACTATCTGGGAACTAGTGTTAGCATTTTGACAGATTGACATAGTTAGATTGGTAGGTTTGAAGACTTTGAATAGTTTACAAAATTTTTCTGTTGCGTTCGTACAATATTTCTGCCAACATTCTAGTTTAGCTTTTGAAATCTTCCATTTGTAGACTGCACAGTTTTTCCTGTATATCATTCCCAATTCCTTTCTTTCATTTGGAGCACGGCAACCTTGAAAACGGAGTCGAGTGGCCCGAACTCGACTCCGTCCGGCCGCTAACTTGGAATTCCACCATGGAGTTTTATTTGGAATAGAGTGACTTCGCCATTTAAGTACTACATTAAGCCAATTAAGTATAACATATTTAACTTTCATATTTAAGGCCTATGAAGTACATTGGCTTTTATGTTTGAAATGCATCTCTCCCTGAAATCATATATAATTTTAAATGTATGCTTTAGATATTCAAGTTGGTATAAAATAAGATGACAGGCTTTATAATTTTAAACCAAGAATTTCTTCCAATAATTTGGCTTTTCTACCCTGAATTCCAATTATTATATACTCAACTATCTAGAATTAAACATTTTTCCTATGTTTATCACAGACCGTCTGCAATGTGTGTCTATTATCATACTGTATGCCGTATCGAGCTCTTCCTTATCATTTGCATTTTCAAAGCCTGCTACTAAATGAGAAACATGGGGCGCTAAAGAGGTGCCAAATTTCTGGGAATTTATATATTTTGTTTTCCATCTCTTTTTAACTGTGTATTAGTGTTCTAAGTCAAAGTCGAATCTAATAGAACGATGGTCACTTAATGATGGGCAATCACTCCAGACATTCGAATTGTTTGTTCTTGGGTAAATGGGAGTTGTTGCTAAATACTATAAGCATGCCCTAAAATGAAATTTAGGGCTTATAATTATGGGTAATCAAAGGTATAATCAAGAAGGAGCACTTTTTCTTGCAAACATAATCAAATACTTACTTAGCTTTTCACCAAAATATGATACCCTTTGACAAGCATTTGTGAAATACAGAAAAAAGGCTTACGTGATATTACAACTAGAAACATGGTATTACAGCATTCAAGAAAGTTTCTTCCTCCTATGTTTCAAATGCATATTTCTTCTTTCATTTTAGTATCTGAAAAACACTGTTGATCTTAGTTTTGATTTTCTCAAGTAAATATTACACTGAAATTTTTCGCATTCCAGTACAGTTAAAGTCCAGCATTCAACTAACCAAATTATTTTAGAATTTTAAGAGAAAAAATTGTTTTCCCTCAAAACATTAAGCAAATGAGAAATCTGTACGACTATTATACTGTTATTTATATTATTAGCATATATACACTGTCGCCAAACAGCGTGATTTAGTCACAAAAAAGGATAAACATGATGTCCAAACTCAAGTCATGAGAATTTTGCCTTGGTTTCATGTACATTCTATTAATTCTTGATATGCTGGTTTTTTTCAAAAGAAAGATATAAGTTCTGTTATTTTTTTTCAAAGAATTATTAATGTTTGGGGCCTACTGTTGTGAAAACAATATGCAATAGGGTAGTTTTGAATTATATTATCCTGACATCACAAAATGCACAATGAGAGACTTTATTTCAAAACGAACAAATAATTGTGATGCCACATGAAAAATTGCGCTAAATGATTTAACCCTCCAGACGTTATAGATTCAGGCCTGAAATTTCTTCAATATATCATAAATAAATGGTATTTTCTTGATTATAATTAAAAAATTACTCTCTCACTTTGTCCCTTGTTTCCTTTTCTTCCGATGTACATCCAACCAGACATCAGATACATTAAAACCTGGCAGAAATTTTCATGTGTAATGAACACAAAACCTTTCTTTTATATGGAATTTTATGTCCATAATGCTGACAGAGTTAAGCTTGTATCTGTTTATGTAAAGAAAGATATGTTCCATTTAGCTTCTGAGAGAATTAATGCCGCAAGTTTGGCGGCATCTCTATTAACTTTCATATACATTTGCTTTCATGTTCAGCAGGATTTCATAATTGGATAACATATTTAACTTTCATATTTAAGGCCTATGAAGTACATTGGCTTTTATGTTTGAAATGCATCTCTCCCTGAAATCATATATAATTTTAAATGTATGCTTTAGATATTCAAGTTGGTATAAAATAAGATGACAGGCTTTATAATTTTAAACCAAGAATTTCTTCCAATAATTTGGCTTTTCTACCCTGAATTCCAATTATTATATACTCAACTATCTAGAATTAAACATTTCCTATGTTTTTTACTGCATATCTATACCATTAAATTCTCTACCAACTGAAAAATTTTCTTCAGTGTTCAAATATTCAATACTGACATTTTGATCAGTAAACCTGTTGAGTCTATTAGGTTTTTCAATGCGAGAATCACAAGAAAGCAGCTTGCTCTTACCTGGATTCAAATTCTAGATTTTTCAATTGCTAGTTAGACATGCTATCAAGTATGCCACCAAGATAAACAATGAGGAAGGAGAAAATTCCTTACAAACTGATTTTTTCCCTTCTTTATGAATCTTACTATTTAAGAGCATAATAATGCTCTTCATACAACTGCTAGCACAAGTTAGGAAGAATCTCGTAGGAATCCCTAGAAAGAATCTCCCTGAATTGCACTCTAGAGTTCTGCTTCAAAATTTTAGGTTGTTCCACGGTGGTGATAAAACAGTTGTAAACAGTGTGGTGATAAAACACAGAATACCCTGCTGTTTTATCACTGGTGCATAAACCATAGTACAGTTCTCTACTGATGTATTCATTCCTTTTCCAATGACATTTTTCTGATGATTAATAAGACTGGGAAAGTTATTTGAGAATCTAAAGAATGGAAATAAGATTAGTAACTTGCTACAGCGGGAATGGCGACTGGTTACTGATACACATCAATAAAAATTACAACTTAATGCACAGGAACTAGAAACATGATCTGTCACTAGCTACACGGGAGATGGCAGGTTACCTATATATAACAGTAAAGGCTGTTATTTCGTGTACGGGAACTGTCTACGATGGGGAATTTCGATGTTTACTAGACATTTTTGCTTCACTTCCCATTAAGGCTACCTTTCTGACTGTAGCAGTACAAAAGCTAAAAGTAGGACATCTGGGTGTTGGTGAAAGTCACTTATAAAATTTGTGGGAATGAGAAGCAGCTGAAAATATTATAACATGTATACCACTCAAATTACGTAAGATTCATACAGTACAAAGTCGGTAATCCGGACTCATCGGGACTTCAGCGATTTCGGATTAGGGGTTTTTCCGGATTATAGATCATCAATTTAAATCTGGTAAGATGGCATGCAGAAATTATACAATTAAAAATATGAAACGTAATTTATGAAATAAAGAGCAATTATGATCTAAAGGGTATCAAATTTTACAAAAAAAAAAAAAAAAAAGCTTAATATTTATTTGTTTACTTTATTAAACATTTCTTTCAACACGCGCATGCGTAAAGCATGACATTCTTTACACGCATGCATAAAGTTTGTGGCTTTGAGGTCCAGATTATAGATCATTCTGGATAATGGACGTCCAGATTACGGACTTTGTACTGTAATTATGT